GGCCTAGGAAGACAGAGAGTGATGATTTCTAGGTGACGGTGGCAGGGACTGAAGAGCGCAGGAATTATTCTTGTTTTGAGGGATTTGTTTTCTGTGTTAACCGTTTCTTCCAAACTCCTAAGGAGAAGTCCGTCCTTAGATCTTGCTGAAGAATGCTTTTGGCTTACTCTCACAGACTCCTTCCCTCATCTAACTTATCTCAAGCCTGCTCCCATGTGGACACAGGAGACATGGCAGTAGTGTTCCCAGTGTTATACCTCAATCATCAGCACCATCATCATGGAGCAAATAACAGAAAAAAAGGAATCATATAAATCAGCTGTATTTCCTGCCCCCTCCCCCCAATGTATTAACCACACGTATTTGTTTGCCAAAATCCAGCAAGGCAGATGTTGGCTCACATTTGGCTATGAGTTTCTGTGTGATTGTACTGTACTGGTACAGCTGCTTACAGGAAAGAAATTTCAGCTTACAAAGAGGTTTATTACATTAGAATTTCTTTTCACTCAGTTTCACACTGAAGCTCAAAAATACTGTGAAAAAAACTGCATGGGTGTTGGAAAGCAAAGGTATGTACATTTTGGATTAACTATTATGCCTGGGTTTGAGTTTAATTTCCTATCAGAGTATAAAACCCAACATAAAAATTGAAGTTCAGAAAATCTAATGGGAATTTTTCTATTTAAAAAATTTCAGTGCTGTGAGAACTGTTTTCTACTTATTTCCTCAGCTGAGGAAATGCAACTGAGGCACATTTTGTACACTTTTTCAAGGATTTTTAATTTGTATGACAGCTACATCTTGCATTTTATGCATCAGCTCTGAATGCAAATGCCAATTCTGTATAGCTTAATAGAGATGCAGAGTTACTATTGCCATCTGCAGCTGTACCACCGAGTTTGAAAGGTTTCAAAACACTGTTAGAGTGTCAGTCTGGAGGCAAATGCAGCACTATTACACTTCTCTTGCCATGATGGTCCTGCTTCTGCTTTTTTTGGATGTTTTCCAGTAATATTACATTCCTTTTTCTACCCCTGATAGGAACAAAGGTTCAGTCTCTGCCCAAACATGCTCACTTGATCAGGAACCTACATGTGTAACAACTAAGAATTATAGCTGAGCAAACACTGAGCATAGTACGCCTGGGTCAACATATGCGTATGTGCAAGCTTGAAAAAGGGATTATCACTCATGTGTTTGAATTCTTTTCTGTGCAACTTTTCTAGCTCAAAGAAAAGAGACTAAAATAAAAAATAAAAAAAGAAGTGGCTCACCAGGGAGGGTAATTGGTGTCTCAGGCTGTTCTTCACAACCCACTTCTTCTATGCCATGTGCACTTATCGAATAAGGCCTGCTGGCTTTGTTCTTAAATACAATCAGTACAGAGTCACCGACCTCAGCATGGAGTAACGGCCCTAAATTCAAACAGACAATGCTTGTGATTAACACTGCTTTTCTGATTTCAATAAAATTTCGATAGGCTGGTCTAGGAGTGGAGCCGAGCTCTTTATCAAAACCCTTGGGCTTTTCTATTCTTTCAGCAAAGCCATCAAAATTGGTTAATTATCTCAGCTGACGGAAAGCTCCATACATACAAATAATCTCTTTTCTTTTTGGTCAGTGAAGAGTAATGTTCACTCTTGAGGCAGGTTTTTGGACAGCTTGTTTTTAAAGAAAATTCTTGTGGATGGATTTTGTATTTTTTAAAATTTTATATCTTAAGCTGGTAACCGCTTTTGATTAACTTTTTTTCTTTTTTACTTTTGCACTTCAAGAAAAAATGAAACATCAAATACATACCTGGAGAGTCTTGTCCCCTGGAAACGGCATGGAGCTGTGTCAGGTGATGTTTAGGTTTTAAATATTAGGAAAATGTTCTTCACCCAGAGGGTGGTTGGGCACTGAACAGACTCCCCAGAGATGTTGTCACAGCACCAAGCCTGACAGAGTTCAAGAAGTGTTTGGACAATGCTCTCAGGCACATGGTGTGATTCTTGGGGCTGTCTTGCGCAGGTTCAGGACTTGGACTTCAATGATCTTCCAACTCAGAATATTCTATGATTCTGTGACTACTTTATGACCAGTTGTTGCCTACTTCTCACCCCATAAAAAATGAGCTGATTGTTATTTTATGACATGTAAAAATATGTCTTGCCCAATTGAGGACGCAAATCCAGCCCCTTTATATTGTTTTAATCTGCCTACAAGAGTCTCCCCTATGTTACAAACTCTAAAGCTAAGGTGAATCCTGGAGTTGCCATTTTAGCATCCTCCCTGTATTTACTCCTTAGGAAATTCCTTATTCATGTTCAAGAATGAATTCTCTCAGCAATTATATAAATTGTTTGTAAAATCACTGATAATCTGTGCTCCTTGTTTTCCATCCCGACAAAGCTGGTAAAACTCTTAGTTTTTGGAAAGCAATCCTCTCACTGACCAAGCTTGGTCTGAGAGATGTGAGAGTTACTTGCCCAGGATTTCCAAGTGTTCCTCCTCTTCTGTCCTCATTTTTCGATGTGTGAAGTTGCCATTTGTGTACTCCCTGTAAACCACCTTCTTGTATTTTGAACCAATCAGATCTTCCGCTTGGCTCAGAAAAATATGCCCATAGCTGCAAAATAAAAGGGCAATAAAACCACTAAACTTTAAACATCTAAAAGCTATTAACTATTGTGTTACAAAAGATTTGATAAGAATATGCAGCCTTGAGTACTGCAAGAGATTTTAAACAGCAAATAATAAAAGTGATAATCCTCACCAAATGCACACCTTCTTCAAACAGGTAAAACTGAGGATAAGTTGCACTCACCACAAACTTTTGGGAGTTCCTTCACCAGAGCTGTCAGAGCAGAGGTGAAGTTCAAGATAAGAGTGGGTTCACCCACTCTCTCCAGCTGCTTTCTTCTCTCCAATGAAAGATACTGTCTGTCCCTGAAAACCTGAATCCTTTTATCTCGGTGGCTGCTTTCACTACCTTGGCTATTAGTCAGCCACAGGAAGATGATAACCAAAGCCTGACCTTCGAAAGCAAATGCCATCATCTGAGATAAGAGGGAGCTGCTTTACTCTGGCCTTTGCTGCTATGTTCTGTGCAGGGCTGGATGCTTTCCCAGCATGACAATAAAGTGAGAAATGTATTTTCCCTTCTGCACCTGGTAGAGGATGCTTTTTTATGCCCTCCATGTTTATGCATTCACCCACAGTTTGCTGCTGCTCCCATGGTATCCTAGAGGGCTGACTCGCCAGCAGAGGACACTTGCCATGCGCTCCATCCTCTTCTGAGAGCAGCTCTGTCTCCTGGCAGCTCATCTCCAAGGTGCCCCTGGCAGGGGAGTTGCAAGGTTGGCTCACAACATACTAAATGAAACCAAAAGTGCCCCAGGGATACTGCTTACTGTAGTAATGGACTGTGTTGCAACAGCAGCCTTTGACGGTACTGGAGTTAATATTTTCTTTAAACTCACTTCACCACCTGAGATTCTTCAGGTATCTTTTTGACAGACTCCTCTTCCCCTTTACAGGAAGAAGTTTCCCAGATGCTTAAGGTTTATTTTTGAAATATGTTCCTTGTTCCTTTTCACTTTCATGAAAGTGTCCTCAGGGACCTGTCTATGCAATATGATCTCAAATAGGTATTTTCTACACAAGGTTTTTATTCCTTAGCACAGTGCAGTGTAGATGTCATTTGCTTGCAGGGGTTACTATGTTCTGACCTTTTCAGGGGAGCCAGGGGTTACCACGGTGCAGAGAAGTAGGCTCAACACTTCCCTCATGCATCTGCACTGCCTACAGGGGCTCACATCTGGGACAGGTACCTGGGTTTTTCCTATGTGAAAACTACAGCACTATAATGGGAAGACTGGGAAAAGTGAGAGAGAGGAGAGTATTGGGGAGCATCACTGTACGGTTGAGCCATGGCTGAAACATACACAGGGATTTAGGGACTTGGAAGCCTTCTTGAATTCAACAGCATTACAGGACACACTGAGATGAAAACATCTGAAACTGGTGCCTATGAACTAGTCTAGTCTAAGAGGTTAGGACTTCATAAATATGTTTTCTGTTATTTTGTTCTGCAAAGAGTTCCTCCTAAAAAGTACAAGGTTAGCTTTGTGAAATGATGTTTCAAATTTTCCCCTCCACTATGAGTGTGTCCCATGCCCACAAGTGTTTTTTGTTTTGAGTACCTTTCCTCATTGCTGCTGACATTGTAAATCCTGGGTGCTGAGCTCTTATTTGAGGCATAGTCCCACTCAACCTCCTCTGCGGCAATGTAGTAGAGCCTCATGGTTCCGTACTGCTGCTGGGCTTGGGTGGTATTGCGGCAGCTGCTGACCTCGTAGAGATGTTTCATCCCACCAACAAAGTGATCAAAAGTCCTGCAAACCACTTTGAATGTGCCTGGGAAAAAAGGACATGAGATTTAATCAGTTTAAAAAAATAAAAAGCAGTTTGCAAATTAGGCCCTGTGTACATCTCTGATCTGTCCTCTAACAAAAAAAAAATCTGTCCACAGACAAACCTAATCTGTGATACTGTATGGAAAGTCAAGCAAGGGGATGTTTATATAGAGTCATACAATATTTGAGGTTGACCTCCATGATCATTAAGCCAACCATTAGCCCAGCACTGCCAAGTCCACCACTATATCAAGTCCCTAAGCACCACACCTGTAGTCTTTTAAATACCTCCAGGGATGGTGACTCCACCACTTGCCTGGGCAAGTTTCAGTGTTTTAGTGTTCCACTGTTTCAGTGCTTGACAACCCCTTCTGTGAAGACATTTTTTCATAATATCTAATCTGTACCTTCCCTGATGCAACTTGAGGCTGTTTTCTTCTTGTCCTATTGGTTGTTCCTTGGGAGAAGAGACCGACCCCCACCTCACTACAATCTCCCTTCTGGTAGCTGTGGAGAGTGATAAGGTTCCCCCTGAGCCTCCTGTTGTTCAGACTAAACACCCCCAGCTTCCTCAGACCCTTCTCATCAGACTTGTTCTTTAGACTCTTTAGACCCAGCTCTGTTGCCCTTATCTGGACCTGCTCCAGCACCTCAATGTCTTTCTTGGAGAGAGGACCTCAAAACCAAATACAGGATTTAAGGTGCAGCCTCACCAGTGGAGAGTACAGGGGGATGATCACTGCCCTGGTCCTGCTGGCCACACTATTGCTGATACAGGCCATGATGCCTTTGGCCTTCTTGGCCACCTGGACTCACTGCTGGCTCATGTTCAGCCACTGTCGACCAGCCGGTGACCCACATGGAGGACTTGGCAGAACCTGGCCTTGTTTTGCTCCGTATGAACCATTAGCCTACTCCATCTTTCCTCAAAAATCACCATAAAGTACTTTTAACAATTTGAGTTAGATTAGCTTAGCCAAGAAACTCTTGAAAGCAATTGGTTAGATGTCTGACAGCAGGAACAGGATTGCCAGTGAGCCTTCACCAATGCTGCCCACACTGCAGACATGCCCACAAGGAACATGAGAAGACGTAGGAGGAAGCATTCATTGCAGAACTCGATAAAGGCATGGAGGAACAAGGGGTGTGTTTCAGAGATGATGTTTCCTTGTCCTTGAGTACAGAGCCACTGTACCAGCTTTTGGTGCAAGAAACTTTCCACTCAGACTCTGCAGTTGTTCGGTGTAATCAGGCTAATGGAGACCTCTTTGCAGTACAGACACAGACACACTGTACAATAATGCCTGCTTATAACCATTTCTTGATATGCACCTGTATGGTGTAAAAACAACTGAGCTAAACTGCAGCTGACTCTTTGTACTCCACGAAAGGCCAAACCACCATAGGCCTTTTTTTTTTTTTGGTATCTCTGATGGTCAAAAGCTGCAGTGATGGTGGGAGCATCTTTTGGCATGTCCATGGGCAGATTTTAATATTTCTACTCTCCTTCTCTCTTTCCCATTTACTCAAACAGAAGCTGACCACTATGTTATCCTACATAGCTCCATCTGCTAGCACTTTGTGAAGTGCTGAACTTTCACAGCTGGTCTGCATATGAGTCAGTGATGGAACCAAAATTAGAAACACAGCTCTGTCCACACTGGATCTCAATCCATTCCTTGTGCTTCTAGGGCAAAAGTGATGAAAAGATAAAAAAAACATGCAGTTAAACAAAATCACATACACTGATGATTGTAGAGATTTGATAATTAAATCCATTTCCATTATTGCCAATAGAAGGTTAACTGGTAAAATCAATAATCTCTTAGAATAGTGTGAGTCCTGCAGTGTAGTTTCATGACAGATGGTGGAAATGTTTGGGATATGCATAAGAAAAATATCTTTTGTCTTACAGACACCTGCACCAGAGGTCTCACCTGGCATATACGCAACACATATCAACTCTCAGGCTCTCTGGCCAAGGATGGCCCTTGGCATAGCCTTGCACAACTCTGATGACTCTAATGATTTAAACAGAGTTGCACCAATATAAAGTAATGTTGCAGTCTTGGTTATGAAACTTATTTGCTAAGTCTCCCACAAACAATTCACCCCTTCTTAATTTGAAGTATGAATCACTGGATTACCCATGAGAATTAAAAGTGTCTTTAATGTGTGTGCTTCTGAAGAAACTCCTAAATACTGACTATTATTGAAAAGTTATGGTTGAAGTCCTAAAATACCTTAAATTATGCTGACTATCCACATAGCAGTGAATTTGCTCTTCTACAAATGCCTGTTTTAAGAATGATAGAAATTCTGTGAGCATCCTCTTAGCTATCTCTCTGCCTGCTGCTCCTCCCATCACAAGGTCATTGAAGCCTCCACTCTCTGATGCACATGCATGTTTGATTTATAGCCCCTTCCCGGAAAAGTAACCCAGACTGAATTCTCAGCTATGCCAGGTCTCCACAGTCTCCATGCTTTCAGGCTCCTTGTGCAGAGCACAGCATCTCACCGACTGTTATTTTGACCAAGTGGTATCTGCCAGTGCCACACCACCAAAATCAGTTCATGAACATACCCACACGATCTGGCTGCATCAGTGCTGTCCCCGATAAATGAGGAAACAAGGCCAGCCCATCCCTTGTTGTCCCTCTGAGGTTGATGGTGTTTCCTTGAAAATGAACGCCATGCATGTCATAGTGACTGCCCAGCCCGATGAGGTGCCAGGACACCTTGTCGTTCTTGCACATGGTCAGGCCTGGCAGATTACCATACAAGTAGCCGTTGACAGCTGGAGGAGAAGGAAAGATCCCAGTTAGCAACAGGCCCACAGAAACTCATCACAGAGCCTGCTACCACCTTCGTGACGAAAGACTCATGGCTCAGCAAGGCACAGCATTAAAGGGGCATTTTGTGAAGCAGAGGTAGTGCTGGAGGACACCAAATTAATATCCAAGTGCTATTCCTATAACCTCTGACACTCTACCTTTTTGTTTTTAGCCTGTAAAATCTTGTAATAGCCTTTTGCAGTGATGTAGCACTCCTGAGCTTTTCAGGGTACCTTGCAGACACCAGTTAAGTGTATAAATTAGATACCTCTTTTCAGCCTGAAGAACAAATAACTGTGTCATCAAGGCTATGGAGAGAGCCACAAAGACTCTTGGTTATAAATTCAGTTCTGATGGAGCCTTTTTATGTTATTTTGATCTTTGACTTCCACTTTTACTTCTTAAATGTATCCATTTCTTTTACAAGGCTGTTATGAGGCTAAACCCCCTAATCCTCAAATGTTTGCTGAGATCAGTGCATGAAAGATGTGTAACAGAACAAATTTTTAGTATGAGATCCACCTCATAATGGAAGAATAAGATAGATGGGTCCAGAAAGTCCTAGGGTTCTCTAACAATATATAGTCTCAGTGCTCTTCAGAAAACTAAAGCAAAGACAGGTTATGCAATCTGCTCAAGTCTGTCATGTCAGGGTTACCTTGAAGGAGATCCATGCTGAAGTCAGATACTTACATATAGAAGTGATGTTTTAAAATATTATTGGCCATTCCCCTAGTCTTCGCATCTCCCCTCCCAGATGTGGTCACTGCCCAAGTGGGAGATGTCAGAGCAGAGCAGGTGGATCTTTACTGTCTGAATCAGTGCCAAGGCCAGTGGAGAAATTTAAAACTAGTGCACATTGGCTTCTTCTGCAGTTGATGCCTGTTTCTGGCATTATGTCTTTCTATAGACCTAAGTATTGTATCTAAAAACTGCACTCTATTTCCTTTCTCCAGGTATAGTTGGTAGGTGAATACATTCAGTGCTATTATGACTGGGGTTTCAGCATGTACTCCAAGGACATCAGGAGTTGACCATAAGCTGACTGACAGCTTTCCTCCTCACTCTTCAGTGCACTGGAGTTTTCTGCCAACTCATCTTCCTAATATGATTGAAGAAAAGGTATCATTAATATATATTAGGCATTTCATACCATGCATTTTGTTGGATTCCTTGAAATCAGCATCATTCTCGTCTACTTTTGAAGGGTCTCCAGTAAATGCTTCAATATTCTTGTTCAGATACCAGCTGTCATTCTCATCAAAGATTGAAAAGAGGAGGTAAAATTCTCTATCGATTCCTTTCTGTAGCCAAAAAAGAAGCCAAGACCTTCAAAAAGTATGTTCATTCAGAATGAATTTCTTTTTTTAACAAATTTTTCTTTCCCCAAAAATCTGAAGCTGCCTTGTTATTAAGTCTATGTAGAGACAGCGATTGTCATTCTTCCATCAGGCAGAAGGATAAATAAATTGTCCGTTACTTGGGGTGAAAAAGGCATTAATTGCATGAAAAAGATGGAAAAACTAGGGACAAGCCAGGACATTAGGGAATGACAATTTCATCTTCTTAATGTTCCCCTTAGGTCAGCTTTTACCCTGAGGACTGACTTTTGTTTAATCTCTGCAAACTGAACTGGGAACTGGGCAAATAGCCATATGGGAACCCTCCCAGTGCGCCACCCTCCTGTTAGGGACAAGCAGATGTTCATGTTTGGCACCTGTGTCCCATCATGATTCAGTGTGTTCTTCCGACACACCAGCAAAGGCCCCACAAGGCCAGAGTTGGTGTCCTTGACAGCATCAGTGGCTGAGTAGTACAGATAGGTCAGGCATGGTGGGTCACTCTCTGCTGGACCTCCATTTTCAGGCACCCTCCACTTGTAAGTGAAGGTTTCCCCTGGCTTAACATGGGCTCCTGGCTTCAGATAGCCTGCAGAGAGAAAATTGAGATGCAACGAGATTTCAGGGAGGTTTTGTCTTCCTGACTACAAGAAGTCAGAAAGATATAGCTGCTGATTTTTGTGGAGATGCTCTCGCTTTCAACCACAGCTCAAGCACCATCCTAATGTCTGGGCAGTTATGCCATGGGGACATTTCACCCAAGTCCTGTACCATGGGGACAGCCAAGCCCATTCCCTGCAGAACAAGTTTAGCTGCTTCACCCAGACACCTTTCGACGCTCCTGTGGATTATCTGGATTGAATCAGACAATACAGCAGACCTCATCCTGGTGCTTAAATGGCTTCCTCTAATGTTTGTAGCTTACCTGCCCTATCATGAGATTTATCTGTGACACAAGCTCAGACTCTGGCTCTTCATTATGCACCTACAAAGCAGTTACATTAGCAAGCGGAGCTGTAGCTGTGGGTCTTTAGAAATTCTAAACAAATCTGATCCTGGTAATTGTTTCTTTTTGATTTTGAAGCAATGCACTGAATCCTCTGTCAGCATCTCCACAGAGTGGCAGATATTACTTTTTTTCAAGGTTACTCTTAAAGGATTTGGGCCATTGTCTGCTACCGTGCAAAGGCTGGATGTAGCACCTCTCGTGTAATTTAGCGACTGTAAAAGAGTGTTCATATTCACTCAGAGAGAGCTTACAAAGGGGACTTGAAAGTCAGAAAAAGGGGTCAGCCTTGCAACCTTTGTAGAAAAAAAGCACAAAGTAACCTTTCTGGTCTTTGCTAGGAGGAAGGTCAAATCAGAAGTTTTGTTTAACACTTAAGCATCCATTTGCTGGATTTTTTCATCACAGTCAGATGAGTCGGGTGGCAGCACACTGCACTGATCTAATACTCCTCTCTAATGCTGCAAGAGAATCCTCTTAAAAACTTAGACACAAGTGAAAATAGCAATATTATGTTTGAAGACACACTACTGACTGCAAATTGCAATACAGAGTACCGATTGAACAGTATCTTATACTACTGGACGCATTCTGCAACGGTACTTAATAAGGAAAACATTGATTTGGAGTCAAAAACCCTCTGAGACTGGACAAATGTTAAACACAACATGGAAGGGTATTTTCTGAGGGCACAACTGAAAGAAACCTTTGCCTTCAAACATCTAGATATCTGCAGGTATGTTTCCATACGGTATTTTCCCATGACTAGGCTGCACTCAGACAATGCATAGCCTTTGAAAAATCATTTATCTGTGTAAACTTACAGTCCCTGTGGGACTTCTACATGTATACACTTGTAGATAGATGTAATGGAAATCAAAGGCACAAGGGTTAAAAGGAGAGAAGAAGGGATGGAAAGACTATTGATGAATCTGGAGTCAGGTTCCTCTCCAAACACCCATAGGTGTGCAGATTACACAGCTGCTGAATTGTAGGGTTTTGTTTGATTTTGCTCCATGCCAAAGTGTGCAATGATGGAGGGTACTATTACCAGAAAGTGTTAAATGAAAGCACAGTAGGAGTGCGAGCAGAGGGAAGCTGCACTTCCACTGGGGAACTACCTCAGACATGGGTGGCGTTAAGATCTGTGCAGATAACTTCAAGGCTGAACTTAAGCCAGTTGGGTTTTTTTTGTGATTTGCCTGCTGGCAAATTTGTTGAGTTGCAAGGTAAGCAACTAGACACAACAATTTAATAAAGCCTTTTGCATTGATTTTATTATATGATGACTTTTACACATTGACCTAGTTCTCTTAGTACAGTTTTCAAAGGAGGGATTATGTCCCATAAGTTTCTTTTTGATGTATTGTGGTGGAAACAAAGCAATTTAGGCAACAAGGAAACTACCTTTCTTTTCAGTGCTGCGAATACAGCAAAAACTTTTTCAGAGACCGCAGCATTATCTCTAGGCTATGGATGGGATTCAGATCACCTTGATCGAGCAATCTCAAGCTAAATCCCTAACCCAAACTGTAGACTTCTGTAGTTGATGGAGACAGAATCACATCTCCAGAGGGTGAGCTACTGACTCCTAAAATAAATGCTCAAAGTAAATGGGACTTGTCACTCTCTGAAGGATTTGTTTCTTGTCACTGACTGTAAAAAGTGCGTATCAGTTAAACACGACATTTAACATTTAACAGTTAAACTTAGGGAATAAAGTTCCTGTCCTCCAAAATTAGAGGAAGACTTTCTCAAGTGCTCCATTTCAGTGTTTATCTATTTATGAGAGTTAATGAGGGTTGTCACGGCTTCACATTCCAGGGCAATCAGATAAAAATTGGCTTTGACACTGACTATCTCAACAGTAAAGCAAGGACAATGCCCAGCCTGGATCAGAGAATAGTAGATAGTTATATCTGAAGACTCAGCAGGGCCATCATGCTAGATCCTAAGATTCATAATTCTGGAGCACGTCCAGAGGAGATCCACTGACTACAATGGAGTAATATTAGATTAGAAATAATATAAATTGGATTGTGCTTGTGTGTTCTGTTCAACATGGACCTCAGCTAGTTTTAGACATCTTGTCTGGCACACATCCATGGGGAAGAACACACCTGCACACCATGGAACCCCATGGATTGTGACTGGTATGGTAGACACAAACTAATAAAATAATCCCTTCCATGCCTTAGTACCCACAAAAGGGACAAACCTGCAGAGCAGTAGTAGATTTTTAGACTCAGGAATTCTGGATGTGATGATACAGTAGCACAGTCTAAACTTACCGTCTAGGTAAGGAGCACCTTCCGACAGCTTGCTGAAGCTTACACCATGGGCCATAATGCTGTAGCTTCTTCTGGCTTTGTTGGCAAAAGTAACTAGCACCGTATCTCCCACTTCAGCTTTTATAACGGGACCTTAAAAAAGAGAGTGAGGGAAGCAATTAGAAGAACTACTCTCTAACATATTTCCACCAAAACAAGAGGGGACTGCAAGCATTAAATTCCCCTCTGGATCCAAGTGGTTCCGCATTCAAACCTGATATAGAGACAGGAGGGGAAAATATTCACTATACCAAGTATTCCCAGATGCTTCATGTCCTCCGACCAAGCCTTCTTACTGAATGTTGCATCAGTGTATTCCACATAGCGAACTTTCCAGTATTGCCCTCCTATTCTGTCAGTCCCTTGTGTGAAATATGTTGCAGATTCACTGTGGAATTAGCAAATCAGACAGGTTAAATAATTGGAGGTTCAAGTGGAACGCTTCATTTCAGATAAAGTTATTACTCCAGACACGGGAGACATGACCCCCAAAGCCACTAGTTTGCATACACTTTTCTAGCAGACAAAGAGAGTTATTACTGGCTAGAATTAGTTACCAAATGAGCATTCATCGTGCATTAGACTTTTATGTTTAACCCCAATTTACTTAGGGAGACATCTATATTGACTTACCTTAGGGCAAGAACTGTGCACAGCATGTCCCTAAACCCTGTTGGCTTTTCTGGGAGATACTGTAATGAAGTTTGTAATAGCAGGGGGGAAAATTCTACCACTATGACACCTCTGAAATGCACTGACTGTAAGTGTGAAAGCCGCCTGAGGAGTCTTGACAAAGGGTCATTAACTCTGTAGAACTTGGTGTGCCTCACTGGGGCCACTTTCTCCGTGGACTTAATGGAGCAAGATAAACGCTTCCAAAAGGCTACTCCAAGCATCACAGTTATGAATCTAACTTCCTGGCAAGGCTGTGTAAATCCATTCTTCCCTGCCCCTTTCAATTAAAATTAATAACAGTGCAGGACCTAGCCCTGGTGAATCACTGGGGAAGTCTCACACAGACTCCTGAAATTAAAGCACAACAGGAGAGGACAAGAAAACTCACCTGCCAGTGGCATTCAAACCCTGCCCAGTGAATTTATCATAACCGTCAGGTCCGTAATTCCAGAGCACTTCTTCAGCAGCAATATAGTATTTTCTCATGTGACTGATTGGTGAAGGGTGAGACAGGTTTTTTTGGCAGATCTGAACATCGTATAGTGCCTCCATGCCACCTGGGAGGAGAAAGAGTCTGGAGGCAGTCCCTGACCAGCTGCAGTGTCAGCAATCTCATGGATACAAACGCACATTCAAAACTCCCTGGGAGCCACATGGATTGGAAATAATTACCAGAGTAAATTTTTGTTTTAAAAGACTTTTTCTGCCTACACTGGGCCAGATGCCAGCATCCTTCTTTTGCGAGGTGACGCTTTACGCCAAGGTGAAACTCACTGACATCAGTAGCACTCGTTAGTTGGCTTATTTACTCAATTTCCTGATCTGTGTAAGGATGATAGAATGATTTGGGGCATCAGAGTGCCTCCAGAAGTCTGCAAAATTTCCCCTTGACTTTCACTGAAATAGAGACTGGGTATTTCCACTGAAGGTATTTGTTGCTTGACAGAATCAAGTCTGTTTTGCCTAATGAAAATCCCACGGAAATCAATGTGCAAGTTGACAGAAGTAAAACTTCTCCCAGCTCATCTCTGCTATGATAATTATACATTGCCTGCTGCTGTGAGACCTACTTTATGATATGTGCTTTTGGGGTCTCGCACCACACAGGTATCACAAGATCACCATCAAATTCCTTCAACTGGCATGATTTTTTTAACGTGTAAGTACTTGCCTACAACAAAAAGCGGTGATGAAGGCTCCTCTCATTGCTCATCAAAATCTCAGGTTTACGTAAAAAGTGTGGTGACAGTGCTGAGTCTAGCAAGCCTTCCTCATATGAGTTACACAGCCAAGTCATTCATACTAGCTAAAGATTTGGCCCAACATGTATAATTTCCACTGGTGACTAAACTCATATTCATGATATTTATCTGATGAAATAGTTCCAAAGTGTTTCAAAGTCACAAAAAAAGTGTCAAACCCTGCTTTCCCCGAAAAAAGTTCCTCAGTTTTCTTTTCCAAACATAATAGAGTCTGGAACTTCTAAAAAGGACGAGGGAGATCTATAGCAGCATACCTCGTAAGTGCTCATTAACCTGGCACGTTATCAGCCACCTCCCAGGGCTGCCGGGAGTCATCTCCGCTGTGATGAACGTTGCTGGGAACAGGCCGACGACATCTGCTCTCTGGTCTCTACTAGTGAACGTGTGGCCGTAGAAATAAGCAGCATGGATATCTATCTCGCTTCCCATGCCAAACAGATGCCAGGACATGGAAGTGTCAGCACACATCTCCAAGCCGGGGAGATTGCCATAAATATAACCGTTAATGGCTAAAAACAAAAGTATGAGACTTTATGAGAGGTGAAAGAAAAGTGCCGAGTGCCTTCGATCCCATTTCTAAGTGTGACTCTTTCCCAGCCCAGAAAAGAAACTGCCTGAATGTCCACACTGAATGAGGGCCTCACAGGCTCCTTGATGAAGAGTAACAGTTTGAACACACAGTTTACAGCTCTAGATGATCAAATGCCCCAAATTCTCTGTCTGTGTCTTTGAAAAACTTCCTGGCTAATACGAAGATGTTACAAAGGCTGAGTCACCATCCAAAAGGTCAGATAATGAAGTTAACTTGTTCTGCAGCTATTTAGCATGGCTGAAATTTATTTGCTCTTATTCTGAGTCATAAATATGCCATTATATGCCAGGCTTAAGCAATTCAGATTTGAAAATTATGATATCAGTCAAATCAGTCTAGTCAGGTCTCTCTTCCTTGGCTTTGACGTCTGAAAATGTATCAGGATGCTCGGAGAATGAGACTCATATTTTGCAAAATATTTTAGCTCCTAGGTTCCCTGGAGCAACCAAAATACACTGAAATATCTAGAATTAACTTCTTACACCTGATGTCCAAATGGCACAAAGCACTACTGGCCAATGGATCTCTGAAGGGCAAGAGTGGTTGTACCAGCCACAAGTCCTTTGAGAACTCTTCCAATACACACATCTCCATATGCTCTGCAGCTTTCTTTTCTCTTTTCACAGCTGGACAAATGGCTTAAATCTGTTGCTTAAGATAAAATGCTAAACAAATGGCAGAGCTGGGCATGAAAGCCAAATCTCCTTTCTGCAAACCAGTGTGTCATGCTTTAGTTAGGGAGAGGTTTTTATCAACACAATACTTCAACATCCTGACTCATTCCTTGCTGACACAGATAAAAAGGAGAGACATTACAGGGCACAGAAAGTCCTAGTGAAGTGAAAAGACCCTGCTAACTGCTGTAGGTCACTATTTGCTCAAGAGTCCTTCTCACCATGCATTCGGTTGCTGGTCTGGAAACCTTCATCCTCTTTGTCCACTGTGTCTGGTTCCAGGCAGAAGGTATTTATATTCTCATCAAGGTACCAGCTGAAGTTTTCATCTACAATGCTAAACATCAGGGCAAAAGCATTAGCAGCACCAGTCCCTTCTATTGTGGTGTCATCTGCAGTTCCTAAATTGCAAACAAAAAGGAAAGTGATAAAAAAAGCCTCGGAGAGGATTGAATTTAAAAGTGACAATAACCTTGGAGCACTCAAGGAAATACAGTGCTCTGCCCATGTTCTATAGGGCAGGATGAATCTCCTAATTTTGCTCTTCTAAGACATCTGGACACCCTTCCAACAGACTTTGAACAGATGACAAGGCAGTTCCCCTTGTCTAAGTCAAGCTGATATTTCAGTATCTCTTTGTTTTGACATAAGCACGGGTACCTGCCAATATCTGTTGTCCCATTTCCCCCTCTTTGGCCTGCTGCACCCAACCCTGCCCTTCAATCAGTATTAGTTACCATCTGTGCACAGTGAGCCAGGTTGTGGGCCTGATCTAGCCAGAAAGCAAGGAGGGTTTTTTTTTGACCAGGAATTAAGGTGGGGAGAGTGGTAGCCTGCATTTCTGTTGCATTGAAGAAACTGCTGAATCATACCCCCAGAAAGGCTGTCTAAATGTGGCTCACTCTCCATGGACTAACAAGGAATCCTTGACAATTATCTAAGACTAGATACTTAAATTTAAAAAGGCTGAAGGCAGGATGAATAGAATCTATTCCGACTAAGTTCAATACCATTATCCAAAGGACCATTTGGCGAACAACCTGAGACTGTAGAAGTGGCAATATCGAGGAGTCTATTATTATCCACTGGCAGGTGTAGACTTCATGTAATTGTCCAGTCTATCTCTGAACCCTTGAAAACCTTTGCTTCCCCTGCCTTATACAGGAGGGAGCTCAGAGCCTTGCTGTCACTCTTGTGTCCACCACTGCTGTGTGGAGGACTAGAGCAGTAACATTATGTAGACATCCAACATGCAGACAACCCTGGCCTTTCAGGCTAGGATTGTTTAGAATGTGCCATCTCCTAGCTTCATGCATTGTTGTGTTATCAGTTATCAGCTCAGTTTCACATATTCAGGCAGTTCTGCAGATTTCAAAGGCTCTCCAAGAGAATATAAGTCTGAAACATTTTAATTCTGTGAATTAAGCTGGAGACCAGGCCTGTCCTTTACATGCTGAAGTCTTTCTCTTCTTCATATGTAAAACCTGCTTCACTTAGATGTTCTGTACACAAAATCAGGGCTGATTTTGTTCTAGGGGAGTTACTGGAATGAGGGGCATAGTTACACATGCCCAGGGGCAGAGGTGGCAAGGGCTCAGCTGATCAAGGGCTGGTAGATGATGTCTCCAGCAAAACACTAGCAGGCTAAAACTTACACAGGACAGGCACACCCCTGTGTGCACCTCCCCCCATGGCTGTGAGATACAACTTGTAAGCAAAAATAAATATATGATCTGGATGGGGAAATAATTACAAACACTGGGCTTTCAAGTATGTAAACACCATTGCCAAAGTCACCTGCCCAGCCCTAATTTCATTCCTTGAGCAATGAGTCCTTTATTCTTCCTGAAATTACTCCACTTTGGGAACATTTATAGTTGGTCTCAGCCACGACAGGATGGTCACAGAGCATGCTGCAGTCCCTCCACCAGCCGAGGTAAATCTCTCATCAAGCCAAAGGGGAGCAGGAAGGGGGTTGTCCCAGAGCTACAATACCTACCCTGGGATGCTTCTGGAATGGCCCATCTATTCCTTGCCCCTTTTTATGGGCTATGTAGGGATAGACTCTAGACCATCATGATTATACCTGTAAGCAAAAATGACTGTTAAGATGCCAAGCTTGGCAGAGGGGCTTGCTCTATCAGTGTTTCTAGCTCAGTACCTTTTTTACACACCAGCAGAGGCCCAATTAAACCAGATGCAATATCTCTTGGTGTGTCAATGTGAGAATGGTAAATCCAAGTCAAGCAGTTTGAGTCTGCCAAAGTTGGGGAATAATCTTTCCTTACTGGCCATGTGTATGTGTAATTCCCGCCAGGAACAACAAAGTCATCCTCCTTGCTTTTACCGCCGGTTCCATCAGGGTAAAGTGCTCCTAATACATAAAAAGGAAAAAGGAAGCTTTTATCCTCCCCCTTAACTTGTTTTGTTAGATAAATGTGTAATTTACTTTAACACTTGTTTATAAAATAATAACCGCACTCAAACACAGAATCACTGAGAATTTGTGAAAAAACTCAGTGTTTATGGCAATCTCATCACAAAAATGTTGAGAGTTAAAATCCATTTTTTATCAGTAAAAAAACCTTTTAAAATGTTCTATTTTTTTCTTGTTTCTTTATTTTCATCAGTCATCTGTACATTTTGTCAGCTAACATTATGTATCTTCTCACAGATAACTGATGAGGGTACTGAATGCAGGCAAATCTACGCAATCCTCTAACAAAGATACACATGCATAGGTCTGGGATTCTGAAAACCATATCATGTCTGTTATAACCCAAAAGAGAGGAAAACATTTAGCAGCAAAAACTCCATCCATTCAACTAGACTAAATAGGTAAAAGGAAGGAGGGAAGATGTTTTGGTTACTTATAATTCAGAAAAATAATTCAGGAACAAAGACCCATCTAACCTGTTTCAGTACTGGATTTATCCCAAATATCAAAAGTTTATGGTAAAAAGTTTTAAGAGATGAGGCTGTTCCTGGTTTTACTCATCAGCTGCAATTACTAATGAGTGTGTGAGAGGCTGATCTCAAGTACTCTGACGCCAATGTCCACAACAAAAAATACTTGAACCTTTAGCCATGATACAAGTTACTCCAGAAGGAAAACAGAGGAAAAGGCAAACGAGCTTTTACCTTCAGAGTCCTTGTCATAGAAGACCCCGTGTGGATGCACAGAGTATGGGCGGGAAGCAAAGTTTTTTAGATGGATGATAAAGACATCCTCTTGTTCTGCCTTCAGTACTGGCCCGAGGAATCCCAGCCATGCTGCTTTGGGGATCTCCTGGGAGTAAGTGTCATCTGTGAATTGCCTAAAAATAGCCTTTTTGTACACACGTCCTATCCGGTTGGCTCCTCTTGTCGCATACACACTCGCAAACCTAGTGTTGGGAAGGGAAAATAATTTAGAGACAATAAACCTCACTTAAGAATTGACCAAATAACTAGTGCTTTCTGGGAAGATAAATAGTTCCCTGGCAAAGATCACACAGCTGGTGGAACTAAAGCTAAGAAGTAAATCTGGACAGGACTAGCAGGGTCCAAGCCCCTTTCTGTACAATAACAACCGTCTACTTGCAGGTCTGCTCTTTACCACAGTTGCTACAAGTCTTCATTGAGGACTGGCCACTCAAGACCTTCTGTACAGTTTTGGCAGCTTCTCCCTCTTTTGAAGATTAGAAACCTCACCTCTGAAAGCATGACTTGTTTAGAAGGAAAAGAAACCCAAATGAAGTTTTTTCAAAAACCAATAAGAGCAACTCTAATCAGAGAGTTTGACTCTGGAACAAAGTAACATTAAATGTGTTTTGAATGAAATGCATAGTTTCTACATTCCAGAATCTGTGTTTATAGCAACTTCAAGTGATGGAGAACCCACCATATGGTCAGTGGTTAACATATTATAGCTTTTAATATGTTAAAAGCTTTGAAGTCTGAATTGCATTTGCAGTCTAATATCATCCAGCTCCACACTCCAACTGGTTCCCTCCCTCAGAACAAAGGAGTCACATGCCATCAAGAACTTCTTTTCTATGCAGAAATCTGCATGTTTTAATTAATTGACTAAATTGCCTCCTACCCTTCTTCTGGACAAATCAAGCACACTGACATTCTTTATGCCTCAAATCTTTCCCAAGGCTCTTTTTTGAAAACCAGTATTTCTCTATCTTTTTTCAAGTCTGAACACAAGAACTCACACAATAGGTACATAATGTTCCAGCCAGGGCCAGATGTGTTCCCAGTCAATATTTCTCACACAACTGGGAAATAGTTTCTCCCCATTTAATTGTAACATCATACTCGCAACCCACGTTAATCCCAGCTGTGATGATTTAAAATCCATTTTTTTGCTTCTCTCCAGGTTACAGCTGATAATCCCTAATTATCCCACACAATGAGGGAAGAAATGAAGCACTTTGCTACACAACCAGCAGTGGATTGTATGGCCAATTTCACCAAAGGTGACTGCTCCATGAGCTTTTTCATCCCCTGAAGATTTTTTAACTTTCGTGGTTCCTAACAAACTCATAAAAAAGCTAAGCTAAATTTTCCTGAAGTATCACTGGCAGAAATACAGCAATTTCATATTATTCATTGTGAGATTTTGAGACTGGTCAGTTCACCCACTTAACCAGCTTTTTTCAGATGCTTTTGTGAAGTTCCAGCAACCTAAGTGGTGGATATTGCATGAGTTGAAAGGTATGATTTGATGTAAGTTCTTCACCATAAGACACACTACTCTCTCTGCCCAAAACATTCTATGATTCCATGATTTCTAGGATACCATAATTAACAACAACCCCCATGTGGTCATTACACCTCCATGGTCACTGTCTAAAACACACCCCTGAATTGATCCAGATATAAAAGCCTCCAAAAAAGAATACTTTTTCATTTAAAACATGTGTTTTATAACAAGCCACAAGCTTTGGCACAAATTAAAACATTGCTAATGATACTGCTGTGGCAGAAACAGTCAGCTGGGATGGCAGGGAAGGGACAGAAGCTTCTCAGTCTGCTTCTTCACAGAAAAGCATATGTCAGATAAATACATCCAAAAGCACGGTTGAGGAATGAGCTGCCAAGAAATCTGGATTTTCATGTCAGAATTAGCATGTCTGTGGCAACTATCTGTGCACATAGCAAGTCACACCACATTCACCAAGGAGAAGATATCTTCCACTGCCTGGGGGGAAGAGCTGCTACTAGAGTCTTTACCACAGTGGTAGGTGGTGTCAGTAGGAGTTCAGTGTAAATGTACATGCTTCCTTACCTCCTGGCAATGTATTCATGTGGCTATGCCCTAGTTCGAATTATGAATTGATTTTTTTTAACAGCTTATAAGAAATTTTCTCTAGAAAAATATCAAACAGATTTTTTGAAAAGTTCCTTTTTTCAGGAGAGGGTTTTTTTTTTCCAATTTCATCAGCCATCAAATATTTAAATGAGGTGCTGCAATGGCACCATACTTCCCCCATGACGACAGTGTCTTTATACCCTTGGCTTTCATGCCAGACAATTTTGCACATTCTCCCATAACACACTTGGGATACATTGTCTCTCCTGAAAAAGGAGAATTGTACTCCAGAAAAATGCACTTCTTGATGAGGCTTTGTTTGATGCTTAGCATGAGCCTAGCTCCTTTAAATGCATAGATCAGGGATCCCAACATGCAGTTAATTACTGAAGTTCAAGAAATTACCCTGAAAAAAAACCCTCTAGGCTTAAGCACTGGAGACTTTCTCATATAAAGCCATGCTATAATATCTGGATCTGTGCTTATCTCCTACCTAAAGCCATCTAGGAGCCAGGAGAAGAAGCTTTTTCAGTGGCAGTTTTCTGAAAGGGGCCTATTCAAATGATCCGCTTGTTCAGAGTTGCAGAGCCCACTGTCAGTGCAATAGGTATCAACTGCAGCAATCACAGAATAGGTGATGCTCTGTATGTACAGGGGCATGTGTTTTCAGCACACCTATTTGGTTGCCCTCAGTACTTGAGAACAGGGCCCACTGTTTGTTGTAAGTCCCTCTCTAGGTGCCCAGGCTACCCCATTTCATCCAGGAGGATTTTGGGTGCCCACCTCAGCAGTGCAAGTAGCTGGTAGGTTTGTGCTTCTTTACAGGTGTTGCTGGGCTGCACATTACAGTGCTTAAAGTCCTTTGCAGAATCAGAGAATCACAGAATATTCTGAGTTGGAAGGGACCCACAAGGATCATCAGAATACCCACACTGGAGCTCACACCAAAATGTTTCTTATCTGTCACTCCTCTCTTGTCACAGGAAGACAAATCTTCTCCTTCCCTCTTCATACTCCCCTTCTCACTGCAAACTGTTTCATCCTCCTGGTGGTTTTGTGGTATCACTGCCTGAATCACTTTCATCTTTCTGGTCTTGTGCAGATGTAAGAACTGCTGCTCTAAATTTTAACTATCTCCCTCCAACTGAGTTGTTAGCCTGCACATAATACTCTGCCAGCTCCTCTCCTAATAGCAAAGGGCAATACTCCGTCCTCTGGGGCTGTACCCATGAAAGTTTCCTGAATTCCCTCCTTCATCCCCTGTAATCAGGGCTGTCTTGAGGTTACATACAGAAATAAGCAGGCTTGCAAATTAGGGCTTAAAAAATCTTGTTCAGAGTAAGAAAGCCATGCAGTCCTGCCTTTATTTTTGTGCCTGTTTTCATTTTGCTACCTGACCACTTTCAGTATTTCCTAAGCTCCAAGAAAAGTTGGCAACACAAATTAATGGAACAGGGAGTTATTAATAGGGAATTAACTCTAATTTCTTAAAATAAGTGTTAACATAATTACAGACATCCATGTCCCTGCAATGATGAGCAGTAAGTCTTTTCCAAATGAAAGAAGGAGTAAAACAGGAGTCTCACATAGATTCTACTTAAAATCAAGACTAGAAATGCAGATAATCTGCTGTCTCCAGTAAGGACCATGATTTAGGACAGGATCATGAGTGAAGTGTAATTTCTCCACTTATTTCTTTTATCACACTGAAGAACTGTTTTGCCATGATTTTTACTATGTTTATGTTACCTTTGATCTTAAGGTTAAAACTTAACAGATGTTATGTTTTCCAAGAGGTGCTTACACCAGCACTGTGTTACAGTGTGCATGGCCAAGCAAACAGCTCCCCAGTAGCCTGGAGACAGATCCTTTCTGATAGAATTTTGAAGCCTTCTGAGTTTGTTTGCTGCTGTAATCACTACTGAGTGGCAAAAAATCAGCATTCAGAACAACTACCAGGTATGGACTCCCAAATTTTCTCCTGAAGTTAACATTCCCAATACCTGCTGTACGGTCCTGGGTAAAACTGCAGGCAAATGAAAACTTTCTTTTATTGTTATTGTTCCTCTAAAGTCACATAGGTTTTACACTGGCAAACATTTAAAGAAGTATCTTCATGGGCTTATTCCCTAAAATCTGTTGGTGATGAAACCTTCCTTACTCTCTATCCTCTTCATATACTCAGTGACTGAGTTTATAACAGGTTTTTTATTCATATTTTTCCTGTGGCTGAAGTAAGCAGGGATAGTGCCCATAGATCCAGATTACCCCTATCATTTTAACCCCTGGGTCATGTAACCTATTTAGGGTAACCCTTTGCCAAACCCTGACTCCCATGCTAAGGTCAGTGCAGTGTCTGTTCTTCAGGAATGGCCAGTGGAGGGGGACCGGGGGTGCCAACTCACCTTTGTAGATGGTGCCCTGAACACAAAGCATCAAACAACAAAGTAGTAAATTGTGTGTCCTCAACAAAAGAGAGAGACACAAAGTCCTCAAAGAATGTTTTAGGCTTTTTCTGACCCACACGAGCCATGGAAAAGGTCAATCAAATTAATAAAATCTTAGATGAAACTCTGAGGTGTCACTAGTGTGGTATGATGGCTTCTCTCCTACAATAAACTTGTACTTCCCCTGAAGTCAGTAATAAAACTCCTCTCAGGCTTCATTAGAGCCAGGATTTCACCTTGGATGCCCTTTTGATGTTGACCCTTCCCGCAATGATCATCTCTGCTGTTGCAATTGGGTTATTTGGCCACATAGTGACTCAGCCATTAGTTTAGCATCTGTGACGACAGTTCCACCGTCATTTGTCTGGGTGGGATCTTCTCACAGGCAAATTGCTCAAAACGTGTTTGATGCTGTGGTAACAAAAAACACCCGTTAGTGTTGTTAGGTGCAAGACTTGGCCCAGATAAATGTAGAATTGGTGTTCCAAAGAAAAGGGGTGAGCTGTTACATCAGGCAAATCTTACTAACATCTACCACCAGCAGAGCAAGATTGAAGTATCCATAGATTAAACTGGTATCAAATAAATTTAAAGCAATTATCAGCTAAAATTTAATCCTGAAGGCTGAGCTACAGTAGGGAGAGAATGACTGATGCCTGTCAAGGCACAACACCTAGGTGTATTCCTCTTGAAAGGTCATTTCCCATGAGACCATTAAAGGGGACAGGCAACATCCAAGCTCACCCTCCTACTGCAGCAATACCCATGACCTAACTCACCAAATCTGCAGCACATCCAGCAGCACTGACAGCACCTTGCACTTTGTGTGTCCTGTCCAGCATGGTTTAATGATGCCAACTCTTTCACCGGTTATATCAGGTGGGAAGGGATGCTGAACACTTTCCCAGCTCACCTATGCCCAGTGGCTACAGTTTGGATCTGTGACTTCCAAAGGCCCTTGTGCTTCAGAAAATGTAAGTTTAAATTTTGAAGGAAAAACAGAGAATGAAATTTGTTCATTTCATTCATAACACTCCAAATTATGAGAATTAGTAGAACAGCTTGAGGCCTCAAATTGACAAGTCAAAGGGAAGAGGTGAACAGCCTCATTATTCTCCTTACATAAAAAGTACTGATGTACAGCAAGATACTTGTGATACTTGTTCTGTGCAAGCAGCAGACTGGCCCTTGAGCAGCAGAGTAAGGCAAGACATAATAAAAATTATCATCCAAGCAGAATAGTTATGCTAACACAGGGTTGGGTTTGGGTTAATCAGCTCTTAGGAGAAGCAGCCTTTTCAGCTCACACCCATGGAGGTTCTGATGCAGCATTAGGATTCCTGGCTCTGGAGGCAGCTCACTCAGCACCAGCACAGCAGGAACTGAGCAGCATAGCTGTGTTTGGTGCCAGAATCAGCTCACCTGATTTCCAGCCCCATACCTCAGCTACCAAAGCCCTCTTTATCCTCTTTATTTCTAAAAACCGAGGGCTGAGGAAGGTATTATTGACTTTGGCACAACAACATTGAAAACCACCTCTTAAATGTCACTGTCTGATCCAGGTAACGTAACACTTTCCATTGCAGACTTGCTAATTCAGGATTTTCATTAAGTACTGAAGAATAAGTGGTTTTGATTATATCTCTGTGGGTTAGCTGGAATCAAAGGGTGCATTCCTTTATGTGTATGCACCAACTCTTTTAAAGATAATCAGTTTGTCTGCAACCTCTTTATCTTCTCTTGCCTCTCAATAGAACTGGGATAGTGCCCCATCAGATGGGTGCTATGAGAATGCATCACAAGGTGAGAAGTGCTAGGCTCAGCGAGCACAGCGTTGCTGATGCAGAACACACCTGGCTCAGAATGTATTCCTGTCACTACCAGGGAAATGATCTTTAAACTTTGCTTATGGAACTGCATTTTTTATAACATCCATAGGAACCAATTAATTAGCTGAAAAGTAGCCCATTAAATTTACATTAGAGGTTATCCTAAAGAACCGAATAGTCAAAATAGTCATTACTGGTTCAGTATTTAACCCACATGCTTATGCAGACACACTATTATTCCAGAATAAAGCATTTCATTCCAGCTCTAGTCAATACAATTTGAAAATGGAACAATGTAATGACAAGAATCACTTCATTATTCTGCATGAAGGGAGTTCACGGCAAACAGCTCCTCAGCCTTGAATGTACAGTCCACATTAAAATCCTCTGTGGGTAAATCCTTTGGAATTAGCATTCTGTAATTATTACATTACAGTGATGACTGAAGACACAAGCCATCTTCCCTCCCTTTGCCGCTTTGTGAAAGGCATTGCATTTGTGTCACAGACTTAAAAGTAAATGTGCCGCTTGGATGTTCAGGGAACGCAAAGTGCAGACAACCTCAGAAGTACAATTTACAGAACAGCTTCCAATCTGTCTAGTGTATTGGAGTGGATTTACTATTTTATAATGAGAGGTCTCCTGGTTTTGTGAGTGGAGAAAGTTATCCTCTGCTATAAAGAGTAGGAAACTGAGAAATTCAAGTATTTAACACAAATGAGGAATAAACTTGCCAGAAAAGCTTGTTTTCATGGGCTGAGAACAAACTATTCTCCTGAATTCTCCCTATAAAGGTTGACACCTACTGACTTAGATATTAACTGGGACCTTTATTTATTAAAAGTATAAGCATAAACTTGTGTTGAAAAATAAAACTCTTTATTCCCTCCTGCTTGTGGCAAAATAATTTTCTTTATGAAATGCACCTGAGAGTGATTCAGAAATTATTGGCCACTAGAGGAAAGTTCAGCGTTGTTTGGGAGTTTCTGAAAAGTCAGAAAACACATTTCCATTTTCTAACTCCTGGAATGCACCATCCAGATCCCAGTGTGCTTCCACATCTGATATGGGCACCAGGACCTCCTCACTCACTCACAGCTCCCACACCAATCCCAAGCTTAGATTCAGAGGAAGGACCTCTAAACTATATCATGTCAAAGATAACGATGAAATATTACAAATATTCCCACACATTTGAAACCTATGCTGTACAAGGTAATGGTTTTAAACTAAAAGAGAGTCAATTAAGATAAGATAAAAGTTTTTTCACAATGAGGGTGGTAAAACACTGGCACACACTGCCCACAGAGGTAATGGATGCCCCATCCCTGGAAACATTAAAGGTCAGGTTGGAAATGGCTCTGAGCAATCTGATCTAGTTGAAGATGTCTCTAAACACGGCAGGGAATGTGGACTAAACGACCTTTAAAGGTCCTTTCCACCCCAAATTATTCTTTAGAGAGGCACCAAGGATCAGTTCCACCTCCATCCAATGTCCAGGTTTGCTCTCCCGGTGTGGGAGGAACACACAGCCAACCCCAAGTGTACACATGAGAACAGACACCTATTTTCCACTGGCCAAGGTACAGTTCATCACAGTGCTTAACTAGGCTCTCCTTCAGTTTCAGTCATCACCAGGAATTCTGTCTGACCATTCACTGTTGTATATATAAGCATCTATCAAATAGATTTCCTAAATGGACGTCCCCCCAGCTGTATACATTTCAGAGATATAGGGACTTGTATCTCATTCGTAGGTACTAAACACATTTCACAATATCATACCAAGTTCCCCAAATTTTATCATCTCACAGGGAGAAAACTTAAAATCTTTTGCCAGTTAAACAGATTTTTGTGTATTATTGCAAGACCCTGTGCTTGATTATAGCAAAGTTGGGGTTTGCTTTTGGATACCCCAGAAATACCTGCCTCTTCATGAAAGACACACAGGAGATTTTAAGCCCACTACCTGATGCTTTCTTGACAAATATGAGTTCCTTAACATCCCCTTCAAATGCACACATACTTATCAACTTATGCTTAATCAACTGTGATGGAAGAGAAGTCAATCAAAGTCTACTCCTGCCTCAAAGCTGAAATTTCAACTATGACAATTTCATCAGAACAAAACTAAGAAAAATGGCCATCTTACAACATTTCCAGTGATATTAACCATATTAACCAATTTTATTGGGAGCTGTTGATACACCTTCACCTTATCAAAGCCCCCAGTTACTTACTTGTCCTCTAAGAGGCTTTGTCCAGTGATCAGATTTTTCCCAGATGGTGCATAGTCCCAGTTCTCTTCCACAATTCCCAGGTAGTATGTTCTGGTCTTTGCTTCTGCCACTGCAAGCAGCCAGAGGAACCCCAGGGCGCAGAGGCAGCCACCACGCTGCTCAGGAGACATTTGTGGTGGTGACTGCGAGGTTGGCAGCGGGCAGGCAGCAGCAGGATGCACCACAGGGAGCTCACCCCTCCCTCCCTCCCAGCTCTCAAGAAGTTATAAGTAAGGAAGGGACAGAGCAAAGCTCCTCCTTTTCAGCAGGTTAGCACTGGGATAGGTAGAGAGCTTGGCTATGCAGAGCAGGGCTAGGCAGGAGCTTGCTGTCATGGCAGGACCTTTGCCAATGCTTTGGTGAGTGCTTAAATTGCTCACTTACCTGCCCAAGCTAGAAGCCAGTCAGTGGTTTTTAGAAGTTTGGATGCTTTTTTGTCCTCTTTTTTCCAGAGTAGACGGTACGGCATATTGAGGCAGATGGTGGTTTTGACACCCCTGTAAAAACCCTTTAAAAAAAAAAATTTATTTTGATTTCTTTATCATGTCTGGATTTTCTGATCCATTTATTAAGATTGCAAGTGATCTGAATATATTCTGTTTAGGCCAAAACGAAGCCTGTTTTTACAAACATTCCTGGAAATTAGAGCTCTTATAAAGTCTTTTCATTTGGACACCCAAGAATCCAGACACACAAAGATCACCCTTTTATTAACCTTGGTTAATTAACTTGCATATGTAGTTGTCTAGAAAATCAGTCCCTCCCTTTATAGTTTAACTTCCTCTAAGAGGGTATCTGTGTTACCGTCTTGGCAAAGCCCAGTGTAAACTTATACTTGATGGGATAGTATATTCTAAACTTAGGAGACATCCCAAAAAATATGACCTAGATGGCAAGACATTTTGCAAAATTATACTGCTTTCTTCCTAATTTTTAACTGAATAAAGGCATAAAACACTTGCAGGTCTGGAATACAGTTCTTGAGACTCATTACAAGCTTGAACAATTGTGAAATTCCCCTTTCAGCTCCAGAACTATCTGACCTCATCCTCCTAAATGGTAACTCATGGCTAGGGGTTCAAGAGGCTTCACAAGTGGATTTGGTAGTCACAGGTTTAATGCTGTCAGCCAAGACTGTCAGCTCAGTGATGTGAAGGAGGTTTTATGTGGCAGTGGTGTGAGGTTCACCTCCTGGCACGCAACAGCGATGCCTGCACATGCAGTCAGCTGTGCTGAACACCTCTCTCCCTCACTGGTGTGCAGGTGTCTCTGAAGTCACTCAAAAAACAGGTGAGGTTCACAGCAGCCCAGCCTTCAGCCACCTGTTCCATGGTAGATCTCATCTACTTTAAGAGACAAGGCACACAGACACATGGAGTATTTTGCTAAAGAAGCTTTTGGTTGTTTAAGGCAGTGCTTTGCCTCTCTTTAGCTATGAGGACTGAAAGACCAGTGTACGTGGGCAAGGATACAGTCAGGCAATTGCAAGTGCTCGGCTTGACATAGCTGTGAAAACAGAGTCCTTCAGCTGAAAGTTTCTCTCTGATACATGCTGATGTTCATTTTCTCATGTCAGTTAACTGATGAACAATGAGAAGGAGGAGAGGTAATAGGACAAAACAGATGTTGTACAGAGTTCCTGATCCTCAGCACGAGCAGTCTTCCGAATAGTCTTGGAGACCTTGCTCATCTCTTCACTCTTCGGCTGCAAATCACATGCTGCCCAGCTTCTTGGCTTCTCATGCCAGTCTGTATCTTCTCTTCCAAAACACTGATACTTAAAAACTCTTTCATCTTTACTGCTTTGTTGTGCCACTTTGTTGTGTTACTCACAACAAAGGATAACAATTAAAAGTATTGTGATTCTAAAGGGCATAATTAGAAAGCAAAAGAAAAGACAATGACTTCAGGACAGGCAGAGCTTTTCCAGATGGTGGCATAAACATCAAACATGGCTCTGGGGTGGGACACACAGGCCAGCTGGTGGGCTACGGAGCTTTAAAAAGGTCAAGGTGATGCTTGAAGGTTAACAAAACCCCACTGTTGTCTTTGCACAGGGCCTGGGACCCTCCTGCAGAGGAGTAGCTATTTTGAGCTCAGGGAAGCTACAAACTTCTTGTCCTGTCACTCAAGCGCTTGAGTTTGCATACTCAGAACAGGGTGCCTCTGTTATGCAAATATTCATTGTCATAAAGTAGTAAGCATTTTGCATTTGAACAGAAAACATGTTTATTTAAAGGGTAAAGTGCACTTTGAACAATATTGTGTGGAGTTCAATTGCTTAAATCAGCCACTTACATGGCAGTAGAGACATTTAAGGTACAGGGAAATTTCATCCAGACACTTTTGTTGTGACCTCCTGTCTGTTTGCTTTTATGCAACTAAAGAACTTTGTTATATGTTTAACTAAACTTCTGTATATTTGGACTCCTATAACTCAAGAACATCAAGCTGTAGGGGACTAGAAGGGGGGAGTGTTCAATTCTGAGCTGGCACCTGACTGCATTATAGTAATTTAATTAATAATAGTGCTATGTCCTAGTTTTTCTATTGCTTCTCATGCACACAGGATTGGGTCCTGGTAGCTTTCTTCTTAGAATAACTATTTAAAATTCAAATAAGAAGTTAATTTATTTGTCTATTACTATAAAATTTATTTATGTAACTGAAATAATGTGTGGGCATTACCACCCTATATCAGTAATATGTAGTAAGTCTGGTAAACGCCTTAGCTTGGCTTTGGCACTTACTAGATCTGGCAACTTGTATACCCTTTGCGTCCACACATTAACACTTAATTACCTTGTCACATCATTAAACCCAGGCGCATTTACATTCCGGAGAGGTGCTGTGGGCGTGACTCAGAAAAAGATGAAAGAAAAGCTGTTTTGCCCTTGCATCAGGAAAATTTCTGGGAAGCTCCCCTCCAGCGGTGAGGTAATGGGATTAAGTTTGTCACTTTGTTCAGGATCCTTTCAGGGAAGGGGTTGGGTACCTGTTCCTCTTTTTGTTCCTCTGAAGGCTAAAATTAGAGCATGACTGGGTTTCAAAATTTTGTAATGAGAAGCAATGCTCTTAGGTCTGAAGAGTGAACATTTTGAGTACCAGTTTGTGAATGAGCCCTGAAACATCACCAATAGACCTTTCTTTTCAAGTACAATAGTAATGATTGCAACAATTATCTTAAGTTAGTGCACTAAAGACCAGACTTGTGCCAACTAATGTTAGTGATTTTTTATTGTACTTAAGGTAACCTTATGATTGCCATAAAATCAAAAAAGAGAGATGCTGGATGAAGTGATCTTGATCAGTTCCTTGAAATCAGGTAGCTCACAAAGAAGCATTTTAGTAAGACTGCCTACTACTGAACCCCAGCTTACATTCCCCATTGAACAGAGGATCAGTTGATGTTCACGCAGATTGTTTACTCCGTTCCCTCTGCTACTTCTTGATAGCAGTAGAATTCCCAGTTATAGGTGTCCCTTCCTGGTCCCTCTGCTGTGTTGGTTTGTGTCTCCATTGCAATCCAGGTTTAGGAATTCGTCTATTTCTAGCATAAGATCACCCTCAGCTGGTATTGCCACCAACCCTGGAGCTGTGCCTGTAGCGGCCATCCCAAGGTGACAAAGAGTGCCTTTGATACATCTGGGAACTCAGCTCATAAGTTTCACATCACTTTTTTAATCAAGACATCCTCTCCCTTCATCAGTTTTCCCATGCTGTCCAGTCATGAACACATACTAAATACAAAAGTCTTATAGTACGTTGCTGAAAAACACTTTGTATTGCACTTTCTAATAATTTTCTGAGTTGAAGCAGTCATGAGAGAATGTAAACCTGATGTTACCTTGGTTAGTCACACAAGGTGTATCTGAGTGACTTAAATCTTTTGAGTTCATACTGGTAGGTTGAAAATCTCAAAAACCACCTGCCTTCCAAGACATGAACAACTCGTATTTACAATTCTGGATAGAATGGTGAGAAAGGCTTCCTTGGCATATACAGCACTTCCCAGGAGCACTCCAAGTCTGAGCACTGAAGCTATTGGAGGCAGAAAGACAAAAAAGCTGCGGGAACTCCAAGAATAACAAGGATCTGTGATCAATGGGGAGAAGGACAGCTGTAACCCATATTCCACATGACACAATGAACCTGACTCATATCTGCCCAGAAGGCTTTGTGGCAGGACGGAGACTGAACCTTTCCCTCCAGATTCCCATGTCAGAGCCCACATGGCTCCATGGCATTTCCTTCCAGCCACTTGGGCTCAGTCCGTGTACCCAGCTCAGGGTCACAATTGGGCATTCACCACAATGGTTGTCTGGAGATCATTAGGGCAGAATAATATTCTCTGTGCAGATGTTTTCCTTGTAGAACACCTACTTTGGCACATTATCAGTTGTGGACAAATCTTGAGTCAAGATGTGAAATGGGGAAAAGGGCTTCTGTTATATCAGAAGCAGCACACAGATTCTTCTCAAAGTTTTGAACCACACCCAATATCTGCCACAATGGGAACAAAGGACAGTATCATAGCCAAATTTAGAGTCTAGAGAAACCAATTATACATTGGGAAAAAACCTGAAAATATTTAAATTTGAGAAATTTTGGAATGCAAGGATGAGAAGGAAGGCATTTACCAGCGTACTGAAAGAAGCTGCAGGTTTTAAGAGATTACAATAATTTGCCAAATAGGCTGGACAAGTGAAATGTGCTCATCCTCAAAAGCCATTAAAACAAAGCTAAAAAAAAAAAAGACGTTTTGATCCTAATTAAGAGAAGCTTCTTGCGTGTGGTAACTCATGTAATATCTGCACTGTTAAAACAAGGCTAATACCTCAACAGAACTTCAAGGTATATTATTTATGGGTTTCTATGGTGCTGCCCATTGTAGTACTTAACAAACATGAAAGAGCTTAATATTACGTCAGCACTGTGGGACAGAGCATGTTTATTAACCCTATTATACAAACAAGACGCTCAGGAAGCAAGGCAGCCTGGTCTCTTGACTCCCTGTCCAGAGCTGGGGGCAAAGCAACAGCCCCTCTGCCCCAAAACCTTTCCCCTGAGCACGAGGGTGGTGGAGACCAGGGTCTCACTGGACTTTTGCGGTGGAAATGATGCTGTGACT